TCATAGTGCTGGGTTTTACAGTTGCAAGGCATGATTAAAGTGTCTATCAAAGCCTTATAGTGGGCAGACAGTATTAAAAATCCAATTCAGACCTCTGCACATTGCGTAGAAAGCTCTAAATGCCAGAAGTAGAAATATTCTAATAAACTTGAGTAGGACTAGTCAAAGCAACCCACTTTTACAATTTTACATGTAAATGTCTGATCACCTGTGACACCACAGTGAATGTGCGTGCCCCGCATTAAAAGGTAATCTGCTGCCCTGGATGATCATCCTCTGGTTTCAGAAGGTAAGTGCGTCTTGTAGAGGCTTCCCCAGTTCTTTGGGGGAGCTGCATGTTGCAGAATCATTTTCTTAACATTCTTTCTGCTGTATTCAAGCTACTTTTAAATCACCTACCTCCTCCCACAAAGGAAGTAGAGCGGGTTAGCTTGGTTCGGCTAAAGGATGATACGGTCCATTCACCCTGCTTTCTGATTGTTGCCTTAAAGGGACACCACTTTTCATTTCTTCGTAATAATGCTTAGTAAAAAGCCTGCCCCAGAGTTGGGCACTAAGCATTGTACGCTATTCATTACTTTGTTTTATTTTTGAAGCTGTACCATCAGTTTTCTGCCCTGTGATGAGGATGTGGGGCCCCTGTGGTTTTGTTCAGTGTTGAAGGTGTGAGAGCAAGGACCCCGCCCAGATCTCTGAGGAGAAGTTGTGCTGAGATGAATTTGAAATTTTCAGAGAGTGGTGGACAATGGAAAGAGATTCCCAAAGTACATAGGTATTGCGGCAGGGCTGAGATTATTACTCAGTGTCAAGCAGATACCTAGCATCCATGAAGCCATGAGTCCAGATCCCAGCACCATGGAAAAAGGTATTGGGGTGAGTGTGGTTTCCTTAAAGATTTACTGCCATTAAGGTTTCCAAAATTCTGCATGAAATCTCTCATTTTGATTAATAAATTATCTTGAGACTGGAAGGCAAACTAGGCGGCTGACTAAAGACCCCTTTAATACATTCAAGACAGTTTATGGTATGTTTAAAAAAGCAGAAATAATTACTTTGTATAATTTTAATGTTGGCAAGTAGAACTAGAGAGACCTCTTACAATTAGGCTATAGAAATAATCCTAGCAGTGTATGTGCTCTTTCTTGACTTTTTTTTTGTATATTTACAATTGTGTAACCATCACTATAGTCCCTCATGCAACATTAGCACCACTGCACAAGGGTTCCATTAGCATCCCTTCCCTTTTCACCATTCTCTGATTTTAGCTGTACCTTGTATAATATTTTTCAATACTTTGAAAAAATTGTCATGTGATTTGTTCTTTGACTCATTCAACAATTATAACTCTTCATTTCAAAGTATTTGTGAATTTCCCAAATTACCTGTTGCTGTTAGTTTATAATTTAATGAGAAATATTGGGGAAAAACCTGTGATGCCCGTCTGTTTTGGTTTGTTGATACGCCATGGCATAGTAGCAGTTGACCTATGTCTCATGATGAAAAGGGAGTTCATTTCTACCATAGTACTCCAAAGGGTCACGTCAGTTCATTTGACTAAGTTGCTTAGGGATTCTCCACAGTCTGGACCTTTTATTTGTTCTATATTCAGTGTCATAATGAAGTCACCAATTACATATTACAAAAATGTTAATTTCATCTTTGTGTGCTGTTTGGATTTTCTCTGTGTATTTTGGGACTGTGAGTTTAGATTCCTATATGAGCATAATTGTTGCATCTCCCTGACTGCTTGACTCTTATTATATTATAAAGTGGCCCTCTTTGTCTTTAGTATATTTTGATTTTACGGCTGTTGGCTCCTAATATACTCACCCAGCTTTTTTTTCCTTATTTACATCTTTCTCTTTTTTGCATGTATGTGTGTTTGGAATGCACACATGTGTGTATACTTTTGCATGTTTATGTGTAGATGTTTGTGTCTGTAGAGGCCAGGAGTTGACACTGGATGATTTCCTCAATCTTTCTCTAGTGTTTCTCCTTGAATCCTGAGTTCATTGGTTTATGTAGTGTGCTTGGCTCAGCCCCAGCCTCCACTGTCCCCACCTACCTTGAACTGAGGTCTCAAGTGGTCTACCACAGACACTTGGTCTTTAATTGGTCCTAACTCTTGTGAGGCCAACACTTTACCCAGTAAACCAGCTCACAAGCCTTGTTTACATCCTTCTCAATTATTTTACTTTAATTTTCCTTATAGATTTTCATCAAAAGTGTGTCACTTATAGTTTGTTTTTTATTGTTTTGTTGTTTATTTTGTTGTGTTTTTAATCTTAATGCAACCCAACATTCTCTTCCTTTTGGAGTTGGTAACATACTAAATATTATCATCTGTATGAATGGATTGATGACTTGTTTTGCTTTTTAAATTTTGGGTTTGTTTTGTTATTAGTCTTTGTCTTGTTGTTTTGTATAGAATAGTTTTTTAGTTTGTCATTTTAACTTCTTTAATATGTTTCACCGCGTTTTTAGATACTGTGTCCTGCTGATAGGGTTTGCAACATGCATTAGACATTAGTATAATCTATTTTACTTTAATACTAACTTAGTTAAGATGAGGTTGTATGCATTCAGGGTGGTCCGCCTTAGCAATGCTAACTTAGGTTCTTATAATAGGTGTCTTTTTACAGCTTTATGCCCCCCTCTGCCATGTTATCAGTATTGTATACATTACATCTGTACATCACAAGTCTCCCTATGCCTTTGTTTAAACACAAGGATTTAGGGTTGATAAAATGACTTATCGAGTAAAGGTACTTGTTGCCAAATTTATCAACCTGAATTTGATTCCATGGACTCACATGGTAGAAGGAGAGAACCAATTCAGTCAACTTGTCCTCTGACCTCCTCATGCATTTTGTGACACAAGCACCCCCTTAAAGAATAAATGAGAATATAGAGAACATAAAAGTATTCTAGTGATTTTGTAAACATAAGATAAGCACATACTTCCTGTTTTTGTTACCCTTTAACTCTTGCATTATTTCTTTTATCCACATTCTCTTTCTTCATATTACTATTTTGTATCTTTATTTCTCTCCTGGCACACCACAAATCTATGATTACTGTTTGAAGCAATTGCCTTTTAAAATATTTTTTTAAAGAGAAGACAAAAGGAAGTCCATAATTGCCTACTTAATTGCCTTGGCACTGTTTATTTCTTCATGTGTATTTGAGTTTCTACTGCCATCACTCTTAATTAACTGCCTTTAATAATAGTTGTAAGGAATGTCTGGTGTGATAGCAGAAGGCAAGGCTTACCAGTTAAGAATTCCCTCCACTCTCATGGAGGATCTGAATTTGGTTCCCAGCACTCTGCTGCCTTCATCATTAAGTGTTGGGATTATTACTAGGCACCTTCATACCTGTCTTTGACACATTTTTATGTTCTTTGTCATCAACCCAGACTAGTATATATATATATATTCATATCAAAGCAGGGTCAATGCTGAGTTCATTCTTTTCTTCCCATATCCAGAGTAGTGTGTGGAATATAAATACTTATTGAATTAATGCTAGAAGATTTTTAAAAGCTCAATTGCTAGTTAAAAGCATGGCCTTATTAACTAGCAATTGAATTTTATACTGGTGTTGTTTTCCTTTTACTAACCAAAAAAAAGGCAGTACCATTTATGTGTGTCTTTTCTTCTCAAGTGCAAGATTGAAAAGTAGTTTTTAACTTCTCTGAATCAAATAGCTTAAAATGTCCCCCCAATAAAATGATTTCATTGTTGTTGTGTTAGCTTTATCTGATTTGAGACTGTGAAGAGTCATCTGAGAGTCTCAACTGATGGATTGCCCAGATTTTGATTGGCTTTTGGGCATGTCAGTGGAGCATTGCCTTGTCATTAATCAACATGAATACAGTCCACTGTAGGCAACACCATTCCCTTGGCAGATTGTCCTGGGCTATATAAGGAAGTTTGCTGACCTTAAGCCTGCAAGTTAGGTAGCAAGCAACATGCCTTCATGGATTCTGTGTCAAGTACTTTTTGGAGTTCCTTCCCTGATTCCTTCTAAGATGCAGTGTGTCCTGGAAGTGTAAGCCACATAAACACTTTCCTTTCCTAAGTTGCCCTTCGTCAGGCTGTTTTACCTTAGCAACAGAAAGGAAACAATTGTCCCCATCTCCTAAGGCCACATAGACATCTGGGATCAGGAACCTGTTGAATAAATATGTCTAGTTTGTGTTCTCTGCAGTAAGTTGACTCCTGGTCTCCACAAGTACTTCTATCATAAAATAATCTGCGTTCAGTCACCTCCTTTTTATTGTCAAATGTCAGTAATGTGACAAAGGCCCATCAGGTCCAATCCCTCCATCATTTAGATGGAGTTCCTAGACACCATGTACCTCGGCTGAGCAGGGTCTAGCTTGTTCTCCACATCTTATAGGGTATCTCTGCCTCTTAAGTGACCGAGTGAAACTTTTGCATTTCTCAAATCTGTATGTGTAGTGACTACAGAGCTGAAGTCAAACTTTGCATTTTCTGAGTATGTGATCATACTCGCATTCACAATGATGTGATTGTGGTTTAAAGGGAGTCCACTCCCATTCTTTTAAAACATGGCTACCTTTCCACGCCTGCTTGGCAAACAAACAGCAGCTGTCTCTCGTTGACAGTAGTTCCAACAGCGAGCAGTCCCAGAAACTGACACTATTAACCGTCCCGTGTAAAAGAGGGCTCTGACTCACATGTCATCCCGCCAGTGTCCAAAGTGTAATATTTAATTGCATTCTCTTAATCTTTACCAGTGTATTGCTAAGCTTTCTAATACCTTCAAAATACCAAATCTCAGGCTTATCCTAATTAAAGAATCTCAATTTAATCCATATTGCATGACAATTCAATTTGTTGATTGCTTTTTCTCCCCCCCTCCTTTGTGAAATTCCCGTCAAATGTATTAATTCAACATGATGAATCCTGTATTCAACCCACTGGAGTGAATAATTAAAATTAGCTGATAAAACTTTCAGCAGAATTACTTTGTGAAATTGCTGAACAGATGTGTCATTTTAATGAAAATCCACAGACAAGCTCCTTCTCCCCCTCGGCAGGATAAAAATATTATCCCCTCGGCACATACTTAATTTGGTGGTAAATACACTCGGAGCGATTGCTGGAAGGGAAGAGAAAGCAACTTGTCACACTTAGTAACTTGATTTTTCCCCAGCATGCAGTAACAGCCATCTACAGTAATTCATAGTGCTCTATTGTTGCTGCAAGTCCCAAAGAGAACTTATTAAAATGCAATAATCTCCTATTTAAACAGAAACAATAACCATTAAATTTCCTGTGGATCCAAAATTGAGCACAAGCCCCATCTGGTAAGAGTGATTAGAGGCCTGATGAGGGAATTTAATTTGCAACATTCAAAGACTAAATCGGAGCAGATCTTGTCACCTGGGACTCCAGTGCTGCTTGCTGTCTTCTTAAAAAATCTCAACCTAAACTGAAAATGGAACTCAGGAGTGAAAATGTTACCCAGGGGCCGCTCCAACAGGATCGTGTTTCATTTTGTCTCCAGCAGGCCTCCTGAGCAGAGGGGATTTCACCGCTGTCTGCCCCAGCTTCCTTCCTAAGGCCTTTTGACAGGCCCAGCAAGCGGCTGTGGTTTCCTGGGGTGACCTTTGCTCCTTTAACGTGGCCAGAGCCCACTGGTTCTGGCCTGCCCAACCCATCCCTCCTTCCTTCTGTGTCTGAGCTTCCTGCATCCTCTGCCTGTCTCAGAGGTTGTTCTCAGGAACCCGCCCTCCTCATGCAGAGAACCAGTCTGTCAGCAGCTTTCTTAGATCATGGCTTCCTCTTGTGGTCCCTAGTACATCCTGAGTGAGGACAGCCTGCCTTCTTTGGTGCTTGTTTTAGCTGTGAGAGGTGGAGGGGCTGAGAGACGGCTCAGCATCTAAGAGCATGCACTGCTCTTGCAGAGGGCCCAGGTTCCGTTCCCAGCACCCACACCTGGTGTCTCACAACAGCCCGGAACTCCAGCTCCAGGGGAGCGGACATCTCTGACATCCATTGGCACCACACTCATGTGTGCTCACATACACATACTTAAAAATAATTTTAAAATTTTGTTTTCAGTTACAAGAAGGTCAAATTGTGCTGACGTCGTTACAAAACACAAAGGTGTCATCTCGTCCCCTTCCCTGTGTGGTGAAGTCGTGGAGAAACAGTGCTGGCATTTGCCATTAGAGGCGTGTGCATACATGCACGTGCACTTCTGTGTGCAAGCTTCTCCTGGTCAGACAGTCCCGGGCCACACCTGTTGTTCATCAATGAGTAGGAACTCCAGTTAGGTCTGCGCTGTTCAGAGTCAAGGTCTTGGTGATGGTGGAATGGTTGACAGCAGAGAGGAGGAAACCAGTATATGATCAGAGCCCTGGTACTTCCTTGCCCGTTGCTGCTTGGTTTCATCGCTAGACTTGCTTAGTTTTTCTTCTCCTGGGTTGTTTTTCTTGGCATCCAGGGTGTACGCCTGTGTCTCCTCCAGAACTTTCCCTCTCTCTCTTGCATCTTCTCTTCCATGTGACTCGGAGCAGGCCGCATCTAGGTGAACTTCGCCACTGTCTCCCCGCTGTCCCAGGTAGATTCCAGTGCTTACTGTAGCCCGCTCTCTGCTTTTGTTTTGAATCAGATTCATTTCTTCATGCTCATTCTTGCCACTGCTTTGGATGTTAGAGAACAACTTGTAGAGGTCAGTTCTCTCTGCACCATGTGGGTTCTAGGGGTTGAACTGAGGTCGTCAGGCCTAGCAGCAAGGCAGGTGCCTCTATGCAACGAGGCATCTTGGTGGCATTGTTTTACCTTTTGAGAAAGGACCTTGTGTAACCCAGGCTGGCCTCAGACTCCCTATGTCCAAGAGGAGGGTCTTGAACCTTAGGTCCTCTTGCTGGAGTTGCTGAGTGTACATTACCATGCTCTCCTCATCCTTTATCCTTTGTGAGCATGATCATCTGTACAGTTGTCGAGTAGCCCCTCCTGTTGCCTTCTCCCCTACCTTCCTACCACTTCAAGGGTTGAATGGAAAAGTCCATTCCAGGAAATTTTCATGAGAAGTCTGAAGCGCATCACTGTGTCTGTGTTCATGCATATCTGGGAAAGTGTGACCCCAAACACACGAATGGCACTATGGCTTACAGTAACGGGATCACTGTTTGGGAACCAGAGAATTACTGAGTGCTGTCATCAGAAAGGTGAGCGTGGTATGAGAAGATGGCTGGGTGTTGTAAACGTTCACAGAGGTTGCCGGAGCTAGCGTGTGGCCTGGCCCTGGAATCTCACCAAGACATAGCTGACAAGGGACTGGTCCTGGTGGAGATGGAGTCCTAATGAGAAACAGCTGGGCTCGGCGTGGCCGTGGCTTTGATGTCAGGCGCATCTGATGGTGAAAGTTTTTACCTCTTTGAGTCTGATTTTTCCCAGGTTGTAAAGTGATGTTTAATAACACCTTTGTCATGTGGTTTCTCTGGGGCTTTTGTAGCTTGCTTGCCATATGGAAGAGATAGGTAAATCACAGCCATGCCCTTGGAGTCTTGAGGGGAGAAGTAATGAATCAACTACAAGACAAAACCTGGGAACTTTGCTCCACCCAGCCCGTGACATATTCCTTAGATGTTTCCAGAAACGCCTGTTTATTTTTTCCCATTGTTCATGTGTATATGTGTAGTAGGCATGTGTGTGCTTGCTTCCTTTTTTAAAAATCATTTGTGTGTACATGCGTGTGGAGGATGTCCGACATTCTACACTCATTGAGGTGTGTTCTCTCAGTCAAACCCAGAGTTTGCCTCTATGGCTAGTCTCAACCTTCTGAGGCTGGGATTATTGGCTTTCCCCACAGCTACTAGGCATTCAGTTAGGTTTGGGGGAGGGTGGCTTGGCTGAATTCTGGTCCTAACACTTGCAAGGCAAACATTTTATTACTGCTTATCCCCGTCCCAGGTTTCTCCCCCCCCCCCAATTTTTGAGACAGGATCTTGACATGAGGTCCAGGAAGGCATCACACTGTCCTGAGATCTGCTTTGTGATGCAATTTTCTCTTCCCCAGAACATCTCACTAGCATCCGTGCCTACAATACACCTAGTCTCTTTATTTTCATTTCGACATAAGATGTTAGAGATATAGTTTAGCACTAGAGGGCCTGCCTAGAGCCCTCCGGCGAATATCTGGGGACCTAGCTCAATGACAAAGCACCTGCCTTGAATTCCATGGCGAAGGGACTGGAGAGTTAGCTTAGTGCTGAAATTGCCTCCTCTTGGGGACTCCAGTGACACGTGCTCACACACACTTTCTTTCCCTCCACCACTACCCCACCCCCATAAATGTGAAATATTTCCCAGTGAGGTTTTGTGGGTGTGACTCAGTGATAGAGCACCTGCCTAGAATTCCCTAGGAAAGGTCTGGTCATGTGATTGGAGCATTTTCTAGAAGGCCTAAATCTGTTCCCCAGAATGGCTAAAAACATTTTTTTTTTAAATTAGGCCACAGTAGTAGATTAAGAGTAAATAATGGGGAAAATACCACCAATCATTTTGAGTTTTTTGATGATATTCATTGCCTCAACACTTCATATCTGGCTTCATTTGAAAGCTAACTTCATACCATACCTAAAATGTGTCTCTTACAGTTTTTATTTTTATTCCCGTATACCATAGATTGCTCACTTGTGCACTCTCTCTCTCTCTCTCTCTCTCTCTCTCTCTCTCTCTCTCTCTCTCTCTCTCTCTCAATCTGTGTGTGTGTGTGTGTGTGTGTGTGTGTGTGTGTGTGTGTGTGTGTGTGTGTGTGTTCTGGACAACAGATCCTGTAAAAAGTACATACTGCATTTTTGAAGTTTTTATTTTTTTAACTTTTTCTTTGGTAAACAAAAGTGTTTTGTCTTTGATATGACTCTCATTCGCTCTCATTGGGGTCTTTCTTCTTCCCTTCGTCCCTACCCCCCTTGACCCCCCTTGGGGCTCCTGAACAGAAACTGGGGGGGGGGGCAGAAGCATGAATTCTTTAATAAATCCCAAAAGTAATCAAAAGAAAGAAATGCAATATGAACAAACTCAGAGAACATTCTCAGGCTCCTTGGGGGGATATAATTCGAGGAAGGTCAGGCCTTTGTAATGTTAATTCACCATTCCTAAGAAGAAAGCCACCTTTTTTTCTAGAGTAATATTGCTCTCTGTAAAAAAGATTTGATTCAGGGAGGAGTGCTGTTTAAACACACCTGCAATTCAAAGAGGGACTGCTGGCCTCCAGATGCTGAGAGTCTGGGGGAAGGGTAGGGTAGGATGTAGGGATTCCCTTCTGGATGCTTAAGGTTTGAGTCTTCACGGAGTCTGCTAGAATGTTGTTGGAAAAATGCTCTACAAGTTTGATGTAGCCCTTATCCTTTAGACATTTTGGTCTAGAATGGCAGACCAGCGGGTACAGACGCCATTTTGTTTTTCCAAGATTGACAAGGTGCAGGAAATCCTCTAAAGCAGGCAAGTGTAGTTGCTATGAGCACATTATAGGAGCCAGGCAAGACATTTCTACTTTATACTAACTCACTAACGTGTAAATCCCAGTTGTGTTTTGGGATGAGATTTTGAAGTAGGAAGCAACGCACCAATCCTCAGCCTCAAACAGCATCCAGACAAATGTAATCTACGTCATGTGGGAATACTGGTGTACTGTTTATGCCATTGGAGGCCACAGGTCTGTCTCCGGTGTCACTCCTCTCCTGCTTCTGCCCCTCCCTTCCCTCTTCAGTCCTGTCTGCTGGTTCTTATTCTACTTTGGGTGACATAAGAAAAACACCAGAATTTAGTCTTCTCTGTCAGATAACTATACAACTGCTGTTTATGACAAGGAATTAAAATCTTTTCACCTCCCTCACCTAATAAAACCCTTATTGGAAAGGCTTTAATTCTCCCCAACTGAATGGTAAAACTTTTGTTTACACAAAACCACCCCTGTCCAGTCTCAGAATTTAAGTGAATTAAGTGACTGATTCCTTGTCCTCCTTTCTTTCATGTGTTTTTGTTTTGGAAACAAAGTCCTCCTATATGACCTTGGCTGTCAGAAAAGTCACTGTGTAGCCCATGCTGCCCTTGAACTCACGAAGATCTTCTTTCCTTCTGCCTCCTGAGTCCTGGTTTAAAAACATATGCACCACAAAACCCCGTTCACCAAAGACTTGAAAAAAGAAGAAGAAGAATTAAAGCCAAGTGCATTTCCTGTTCCTATGTATCTCTCAACCCAGTTTGGATTTTGTTCCCTCTTGTTGGTTTTGCTGGGTTGTGTCTTTTATGCAGCACTAATACTGTTTTTTGATTCTAACGGTGTATAAAGCATTCGCCTTTCCTCCCTCTTGTTTTTAAAATTCATGTTTATTCATTTATTCAATTGCTTACTTATTTACTTATTTGGCACATGCCATGGATTGAGTTCAGAAGTCAGAGAACAAGATGTAGGAGCCATCTCTCTCCTTCTACCACGTAGATCCTGGGGGACAAACTCAGATCCTCAAGTTTTGCAGCAGGTATAGATGATTCCTCCTTCCCTTCCTCCCTCCCCTCCCTCCTCATTCATTCATTTTAGGAAGAGTCTCACTGGGAAGCCCCG